ACTTAAACCAGCACCCATATAGGTTTTGGCATTGCAGGTGGTAGCTTAACCCATTGTGTCACAATGCTGGCCCCTTGTCTTATATTTTTGACATTCTGACTTTAATATACATTGGAGAGGATTGTTTTTTGTTTTGTTTTGGTCAAATCTATTAGAGTTTTTTTGGGCTTCCCAGATCTGTATGTCTATATCTTTCCAAAGATTTGAAAGGTTTTTAGCAATTATTTCATTGACTAGGTTTTCTGTGTCTTCTCTTTCTGGAACACCCATAATGCAAATGAATGCTTGCTCACTTAATGGTGTCCCTTAAGTTTCAAATACTATATTTGTGTTTTTTTTTTTTAATTTTTGTTCTTTTTCATCATCTGACTTTTTTTTTTTTAAAGATTTTTTTATTTATTTGAAAGTCAGAGTTACACAGAGAGAGAAAGAAAGGCAGAGAGAGAGAGAGAGAGAGAGAGAGAGAATCCGATGGTTCACTCCCCAATTGGCTGCAAAGGCCGGAGCTATGCCGACCTGTAGCCAGGAGCTTCTTCCGGTTCTCCCACGTGGGTGCAGAGGCCCGAGGACCTGGGCTATCTTCTATTGCTTTCCCAGGCCATAGCAGAGAGCTGGATTGGAAGAGGAGCAGCTGGGTCTTGAACCGATGTCCATGTGGGATGCCAGTGCTTCAGGCCAGGCGTTAACCCGCTCTGCCACAGTGCTGGCCCCCGACTTGTCTTCAAGCTCAGAAATTCTTTCTTCTGCCTGCTTAGTTCTGCTATTGAGGCTCTCAGTTATGTTTCTAATTTCATTTATTGGTGTTTTTAGCTTGAAGATTTCTGATTCTTCTTTATAATCTGTCTCTGCTGAATTTCTCATTCATATTATGCATTGTGTTTTTTCTAATTTTGTTGAATTGTCTGTTTTCTCATATTTCAGTACGTTTCCTTAAAATCATTATTTGGAACTCTTTTTAAAAAAATTGATTTATTTGCCGGCGCCGTGGCTCAATAGGCTAATCCTCCACCATGCGGCGCCGGCACACCGGGTTCTAGTCCCGGTTGGGGCGCCGGATTCTGTCCCGGTTGCCCCTCTTCCAGGCCAGCTCTCTGCTATGGCCAGGGAGTGCAGTGGAGGATGGCCCAGGTGCTTGGGCCCTGCACCCCATGGGAGACCAGGAAAAGCACCTGGATCCTGGCTCCTGCCATCGGATCAGCGCGGTGCGCCGGCTGCAGCGGCGGCCATTGGAGGGTGATCCAACGGCAAAGGAAGACCTTTCTCTCTCTGTCTCTCTCTCACTATCCACTCTGCCTGTCAAAAAAAAAAAAAATTGATTTATTTGAAAGGCAGAGTTAGAGAGAGAGAGAGAGAGAGAGAGGGAGAGAGAGAGGGGCAGTGAACCTGCTGGTTCACTCGCCAGCTGCTACAACAGCTAGGACTAGGCAAGGCCAAAGCCAGGAGTCAGAAATGCTATCTGAATATCTGCATGGGTGACAGGGACCCAAGTACCCGGGCCTCCTTCTGCTCCCTTCCCAGGAACATTCGCAGAGAGCTGGGTCAGGAGCAGAGCAGCCGAGACTGGAGCTGGCTCTCGGATACGGGGTGCCAGCATCGCAGGCAGCAGCTCAGCCCCTGTGCCACAGTGCTGACTTCTGCAGCTGTTGGCGGGATTCCATTCCTTTCTGCCGAAAACGTCCCCAGCTTACTTTGCATTTGCTCTGCCTCGGAGTTGGAATCAGCCCTTTTCTCCAAGATGTTTTTTAAAGCATTTGCTAGCATTTAATGAAACTGTGGCTTCAAGCCAGCAGGACAAGGCTCCCCCCACACCCTTAATCTCTCCTCGGCTCTTCTTCTGAGGAATTTGCCCTTCACGATGACAGGCTTAGGGAGCTTTCCTTCCCAGAGCTTTGTAGCAGCCCGACCGCACCACATCAGTGACGGCAGCAGCTCCAGCCGTGTTCTGGTCTGCTCACTGACCAGCGTCCACAACTTACCAAGGTTGGCAGTTGGGCAGAAGCTCTGGTTCCTCTTTAAGTGGTAGTATCTCATACCAACTTCTCCAGGTAACCTGGGTGATATTTATCAACGTTGATCCTGTGGTGCTGCATGCCACCAGCATTATTACCTCGGCCTCCTGGGTGCTTCCGATGCTTGCCGATGCGGCCGCGCAGTTTCCGGGTCTTCCTTAGTCTGGATGGCGTGTTGGCTGCCGAGATCAAAGAGTCCAAAGAGATCTGATGGTTTTGAATGATGCTAGGTTTTCATTGTCGGGGGTGTCATTGCTTCTGGGCTTTCTGAGGGCAAGGGAGCAGATGAAAAATTTTTTTAAAAGAGATTTATTTATTTAAAAGAGTTACAGAGAGAGGTAGAGACACACAGAGAGGTCTTCCATCCACTGGTTCACTCCCCAAATGACTGCAACAACTGGAGCTGAACTGATCTGAAGCCAGGAGTCAGGAACTTCTCTGTCTCCCATGTGGGTAAGGGGCCCAAGGTCTTGGGCTGTCTTCCACTGCTTTCCCAAGTGCATTAGCAGAGAGCTGGATTGGAAGTGGAGCAGCCAGGACTTGATCTGGCACCCATATAGGATGCTGGTGCTGCAGGCCAGGGCTTTAACCTGCTGCACCACAGCACGTGCCCCATAAATATTTTTTTAAAGATTTATTCATTTATTTTGTAAGAGTTATGGGGTGGAGGGAGGGAAAGAGAATCTTCCTTCTGCTGATTACTCCTTAGATGGTTGCAATGGCCAGCATTGGTCCAGGTTGAAGCCAGGATCCAGGAGCCTCATCTAGGTCTTCCATGTGGGTGGCAGGAGCCCAAGCACTTGGGCTATCCTTTCCTGCATTTCCAGGCTATCAGTAGGGAGCTGGATTGGAAGTGGAGCAGCTGGGACACAAACTGGCACCCAAATGGGATGCCAGCATCACAGGTAGCAGCTTAACCTATTATGCCACAATACCAGCCCCTGGATGAAATATTTTATGTAAAGAAATTGTCTTAATGCTGCCAACTCAAATTTTACATTACAGAGCTTTTTTTGACTTTCACCTTATATTTTCATGTCTTTTTTCTTATACTGCAAATTCTAGATTTTAATAACATGTTTTATTTGCTTTACCCTACAATAAGCATAAATTAATTTCAAAGTAATACAGCTGTTAATATTAATAGTAGGGGCTGGTTCTGTGGCGCAGCAGGTTAACGCCCTGGCCTGAAGTGCCAGCATCCCATGTGGGCGCCGGTTCTAGTCCCAGCTGCTCCTCTTCAGATTCCAGCTCTCTGCTATGAGCTGGGAAAGCAGTAGAGGATGGCCCAAGTCCTTGGGCCCCTGCACCCACGTGGGAAACCCGGAAGAAGCTCCTGGCTCCTGGCTTCGGATTGGCTTAGCTCCAGCCGTTGCGGCCAATTGGGGAGTGAACCAGCAGATAGAAGACTTCTCTCTGTCTCTACCTCTCTCTGTAAATCTGTCTTTCAAATAAATAAAATAAATCTTAAAAAAAAAAAAACTAATGGTAACGTAAGTATATCTGCTGATTGAAGTTTGTTTTCCCTTGAATACATCCCAGTAAGGATGTGTAATCAGAATATAGTTTTCAAAAGTTACATGAAATAATTCCTTTCTCTGTGCTCATGAATTTTACACACAGATATGTTCCCCCCCATTTGTGTTAGCTTTGGGGCTTTGCCATTTTTTGCTTTTGAATTTAATTCTAATTTTTGGAACAGTATTATGTTTAAATGGTTCAAAAGTCAAAACTACATAAAAAGAGCTGTATTTTGGAAAAGTTAGTCCTTTCCTTAACCATTCTCACTATTTTCTGGTTTATCCTTTGAGTGCTTTTGTTAAAATAATTAATACATGTGTATGTCTATATATTTATGTTTCCCTTTCTTACACAGGCACCTTACTTATGTTCATCACCTTACTTCCCTCGCTCAACAGTAGATCCTGGAAGTCACTTCCTATCAGCTCAGCAAGTGCCTCCATTCCTCTTTTTTTTCTTATGACTATTATCCCGCATTATCTAGATTATGAAAGTTCATTCAACCAGTATTGAACATTTATGTATCCAATAATTTGATTAATATCATGCAAATGGAGTTAGAATTTCAGGATAGATTCCCAGAAGTGGAATTCTGGGTTAGAGGGTAAATGTAAGTGTAATTTTATTAGATACGGTCATTCTCCACTGTAGCATTTGTATTAATTTACACTTCTACGTGGGTTGTATCAGAGTGCTTGTCATAGATTGTACCACATAGTAGTTCTGAATAATTCTGAATAGTATTTTTTTAAAATAATTTATCTATTTATTTGTTTGAAGGCAGAGAGAGCAAGAGTGAGAGAGAGAGAGAGAGAGAGAGAGAGATCGCTTTTCCATCTGCTGGTTCACTTTCCAAATGCTCATAACAGCTAGGGCTGTTCCAGGAGCCAGGAACTCCATCCAGGTCTCCTATGTGGGAGACAGACCCAAGAGCTTGGGCCAGCATCTGTTGCTTCCTAAAGTGTGCAATAGCAGGAACTTAATTGGGAAGTGAAGGTAGGACTTGATCCCCAGGTACCCTCATGAGAGTTGCTGGTGCCCCAAGTAGCAGCTTTACTTACTGTGCCATGACACCTGCCCCCATAAATAGTATGTTCTTTAAAACTGTTTTAGACTGTCATCTGGAGACCACTTGCCATTTGTAAAGATTTGGGGGATGGCTTTTGTCAAGTGTAAACATTACTACAAGTGTCTCTATTTTCCTTTCTGGTTTATTTGTGTCTATACGTGACATATTTGATTTTCAAACAGCAGTAACTACATTGGTGTCTTCTCACAGTTTTCCCATCAGATTTGTTGAGATACTTAAAGGTAAGAGAAAGGGAACTGGAATAGGACATATAGAGGACCTTGGACTTCTCCCAAGTAATCTGCCAGTCAGATAATTTTGAGAATGACTGTCTTGTGGCTTTACAGAAATTTAGATCCAAGTAACCACTGGGTCTTGGTTTTCTTGTATGTCTTACCCAGGCTCCTGCTTATATTCGGGAATGTGCCAGATTGCACTATTTGGGCTCCAGAACGCACACATCAAAGGTAAGAAAAGGAAACTATTCTTAACCCAAATTAGGAGTTAATATTAGTGAAAAAACTTTTTAGTTTTTATTTCTTTATTTGAGGAAGTTATAGACAGAGAGAGGGAGAGACAGGGAGAAAGGTCTTCCATCCTCTGGTTCACTCCCTAGATGGCCCCAATAGCTGGGTCTGGGCCAGGCCAAAGCCTGGAACCAGGGGCTTCTTCCAGGTCTCCCACATGGGTAGCAGGAGCCCAAGTACTTGGGCCATCCTCTGCTGCTCTTCTGGGCATTAGTGGGGAATTGGATCAGAAGTGGAGCAGCCAGGTTGAGTCCCAGATTTTTGTGGGAACCAAAACAAAGCCGACAGAGATGTTAATTCACTTTTCCTTTACATCTTCTTTAGGATGACCTGGATCTGACAGCTTCATGTGGGACTCAGTCCTTCCAGCTGGTGAAGTCTCAGAAACGGAACCGAGTAGATTCTTGCTCCCAGCACGAGGAGACCCAGCAGCATACAGAGGAGGCGCTGAGAGAGCTGTTCCAGCACGTCCACAACATGCCAGAGTCAGCAAAGAAGAAGCAACTTATCAGACAGGTGCTGAAGCCAGGCACAGAGGACGGAGCCCGAGGAATGTGACCGCGATTGTGGAGTCCTTGGGGGATGCCATTACAGTCTCAGTAACTGTTGGCTTTTATTGGGCCAGGAGAGTGAGCTTGTCTGTGAGATCTCAGTGACGATTCCTGTACTCACAAGAGAAAGGAGGGGAGGCTTTTGGGTGTCTGCAGCTAGGCCCGTCCGCTTGTGCTTGGAGGGTGTGCAGTGCGGGTCTTGTGCCAGTTTTGCTGAGATGGAATCAGCAGCTGCAGCATATTGTTTCAAAGTTTATACTCTCCAGATTTTCTTAGCAAATGACTTCCTGAATTTCAGTTTTCTAGTTTGTAACATGGTACTAGTCACATACAAATTTCGTGGTTGCAAAGATTAGGGATAATCTATGTAGAGTGGCTGGCATAGCAGGATGTAAGTGGTGCTCTTGTTGCTGGAGTTCTGTTAGAAAACACTGAGAATTCCGGGTTCGGTCTGATGCTAGAAAGTAGGCACTCTAAGGGACTAGGTGTGTGTGGGAGCAGAATGAGGGCTTTGGTTTGCCATTTTGAGACCCAGTGTAGTTTGAGTAAATCCTGATGACTTGAGCAGTTCTTTCTCAGGGAATTTGTTTTGTTTCAGTCTCTCTTGAATGTTAGCTGAACAGACAAGGTCTTGACCTCTTCTTCATCTGGGACTTTCTTAAGGGGAAGAGTCTTGCTTTTATTTATTTTATACCTAATCTCAGACATAGAGTCATGCGGAAGTAAGTACGCAGAAAATGTGGAACCGAGCTGTAGGTGCAACTGAGAGAGGCCTTGAGCAGATGCTTTCTGTTACTCTCTGAAGTTCACTTTGAGATCTAGGAAACTGCTGTGACCAGGATTTTATGGGGTGGTTTGAGTCTGGTTGCAGATTTCAAGCAGCCTAGTGATTTTATTCTTGATAGAAACTAAGACAGCATTTTCATGTAGGACTTCTCTCAACAAGAATACTGAAGGTAAAAGGAAACTACAAAAAGAAGAAAAAAGCATAATTTTTGCTCTGTGTAGAAAACCAGGAGATTACAGAGAAGGATAAGAAGAAAATAAATCACTCGTGTCACGTGTGTTTACATTTTGGGCATGTCTTTCAGTCTTAATCCTATGGATATGTGTTTACTTAGTTATGATCATACCACTTCCTTTTATTTTTAGTGCTTATTTATTTATTTGAAAGGCAGAGTTACAGAGAGGAGGGAGGGAGAAAGGGAGGGAGGAAAGGAGAGAGAGAGAGTGAAAAAAGAAAGAGAATGAATCTTCCATCTGTTAGTTTACTCCCCAAATAGCAGAGAGAGCCAGGGCTAGCTCAAGCCAAAGCCAGGAGCCTGGAACCCCAGACCCACATGGGTGGTAGGGGCTTAAGTACTTGGGCCATTTTCTGCTGTTTTCCTAGGTACATTAGCAGGGAGCTGGATCAGAAGGGGAACAGCCGGGATTTGAACCAGTGCTCCTGTGGGATGCCGGCCTTGCAGGGTGTGGATAACCCACCATGTGTCCACAACGCTGGCCCCTATACCACTAATTTTTTAAACATTCCCTGTTTTCCCTAAACGTTGTAGCATAAACATTTTTTCATGTATGCTTGCAAATTCCTTGCATACCTTTTAGATACTGCCACATCTTTTTATAGAAACTATAATTTTACTATTTCCTAATTTTTTCTCTATGATTATAAAAATAGTACAGGCTCACTATGAAATCATTGAAATTTCCAGAAGAGTATAAAGGAGAAAATAGAAATCACCTGTGATTGTTCAAAGATAGCCTTGGTTAACACTTTGAGGTATATTTCAAATTTCTCATATTATTTAAGATTATAAGGTCATAATAGATAAATTCAAGTTTATATCCTACTTCATTTAAGCTTGTATTATAAATATTTTCTATGTCACAATACTGTGAACACTTTTAATGGTTTGCATATTCCATTCTATATAACCTGATTTATATACACTTTGCCTACTGTGAACATATTGGGGTTGCTTTTTGGGTTATAAGTATTTGTTGTTAAGTATTTTCATTTTAGAATATTCCCTAAAAGTGGCATGACCAAAGGGTAAGCATTTTTTTGTTTTGGTTGATTCAGCTATTAGATCCCTTTGAATATACAGATCCTTTCTTCTCACCCCTCCTTTTGTTTTCCCTAAAATATTGCCAGTTTGTTTGTTTTTTAAATTTGAAATAATTCTAGAGGAAAGTTGTAAAGATAGTGCAGTTTCCCACATAATGTTAACATTATCAAAACTGAGAAATTAGCATTGATACATTGCTGTTAACATTATAGACATTATTCATGGTTTACCAGCTTTTCCTCATTCTATTCCAGGATCCAAGGATGCCACATTGTACTTGGACACTTTTTCTTGTTATCTCTCTTTCCCCTCCTTCTCCTCACATCCCCTTTTCTTTATTTTTATTATGGAAGAAACCAGGTTGTTTCTGCTGGTATCCTGTGTTGTTATTTAGCTTGTTCTCCGATCTTCAGCGTCTGCTGTAAGCTGCCAGGAGATCTGTTCGTAGGGGCTTGAGCTGCTGTCAGCTTCTTGTTGGAGGGCTCGCAGTTTACAAGGCTTTGATTAGCTGTTTCTGAATTGCTCTGAGAACATTTTACCAGTTAGCACCCCCACCCCAGCTGCGTATGAGGGAACCCACTTATTGCATCCTTGTCAACATTACCAGGAATGATGGATTCCACTTGTCTGTATATGTTCAGGAGTGATAGTTGCTAGCGAAACTCTTTAAAGGTAGCTGAGATAATTAACTTTAAGAACCTCTTGATACCTATATATAAAAAAAGTCATAGAAATATACGTAGTTAGAAAAGGCCGAAGAGTAAATTCTTCAAGTAGGTACTATATTATTGTTTTTTAAGTGGGGAGATGAATGTCTAATCAAAGAACTAACTAAGATCAGACAATTGAATAAGATTATACAATTCCTCGGATCTTCCCTTTTTCTACTTCCGATACCTCCAAACAGAGAGCTGATGTTGATAGCATTGACAAGTCTGCATTCTAATGTATTTCCTTTTGACAGTAATGCTGGCAGGCAGTCCTGATAGACATCCATTTAGAGAGCTTTAATAACTTCTTAAAAATTCTGTGTGCCATTTATGTTAAATTAAGAACTTTTAGGGTATGCCAGTAACTCTCTGCATCCAAGATACTTGATGCAAAAAAAATTGTGATTATCAGCAGGAGAATTTGAGCAAATTCTGTAAGCTCTCTACGTCTCAGTTTCTATGTCTGTCAGATAACAGTTCTACCTTAAGATATGTGAAATCCAGGCCCCTCAGAGTAATTTAAAACATTTTGACTTCTGGGGCTGGCATGGTGGTGTAGTGGGTAAAGCCGATGCCTGTGGCACTGGCATCCCACATGAGCATCGGTTCGAGACCCAGCTGCTCTATTTCCGATCCAACTCCCTGCTAATGGCCAGGGAAAAGCAGTGGAGGATGATGACCCAAGTACTTGGGCCCCTGCCACCCAAATGGGAGACCCAGATGGAGTTCTTGGCTCCTGGTTTTGACATGGCCCAGCACTGGCTGTTGCAGTCACCTGAGGAGTGAACCAACAGATGGACCCTCTCTCTCTGTCTTTCCCCCTCTCTCTGTAACAGTCTTTCAAATAAATAAATCAAGAAAATGAAGAAATAAATTTGACTTCTTTTGGGTAGCTTGATTTCTGCCTTTGTGATTTGCTTGCTGAGTTACTAATCAATACATAGGTGCATAGGCTCACTTCTTCCTGGACTTTTTTTGGTATTACAGTTAGCTATTTTTTTTTTTTTTTTAATATTTATTTTTGGCCGGCGCCATGGCTCAGTAGGCTAATCCTCCGCCTTGCGGCGCCGGCACACCAGGTTCTAGTCCTGGTCGGGGCGCCGGATTCTGTCCCGGTTGCCCCTGTTCCAGGCCAGCTCTCTGCTGTGGCCCGGGAGTGCAGTGGAGGATAGCCCAAGTACTTGGGCCCTGCACCCCATGGGAGACCAGGATAAGTACCTGGCTCCTGGCTTCGGATCAGTGTGATGCGCTGGCCGTGGCGGCCATTGGAGGGTGAACCAACGGCAAAAGGAAGACCTTTCTGTCTGTCTCTCTCTCTCACTGTCCACTCTGCCTGTCAAAAAAAAAATTTATTTTTATTTATTTGAAAGTCAGAGCTACACAGAGAGAGAAGGAGAGGCAGAGAGAGAGGTCTTCCATCCGCTGGTTTACTCCCCAGTTGGCTGCAACGGCCAGAGCTGTGCCGATCCGAAGCCAGGAGCCAGGAGCCAGGAGCTTCCTCCGGGTCTCCCATGCGGGTGCAGGGGCCCAAGGACTTGGGCCATCATCTGCTGATTTCCCAGCCCATAGCAGAGAGCTGGATCGGAAGTGGAGCAGCTGGGTCTAGAACTGGAGTCTATATGGGATGCTGGCACTTCAGGCCAGGGCTTTAACCCACTGCATCACAGTGCCGGTCCCAGCTATTGGTTTTTACACAATGCTATCTCTCTTGTTTTAAAAGACTTTTTATGTATTTGACAGGAAGAGAGAGAGGAGAGAGAAAGAGGGGGAGGGAGAGAGGGAGAGGGGGAGAAAGAAAAGAAAGGGAGAAGGACAGGGAGAGGAGGAGAAGGAGAAAGAGAGAGAAAGAGAAAGGGAAGGGGAGAGGGAGAGGCAGATACTCCTTTTGCTAGTTTGTTCCTCAAATGCCTGCAACAACCTAGACTGGGTTAGGCCAGACCAGCAACCAGGAATTACATCTGGGTCTCGAACAGGGTAGCGGGGTGGATGTACCTGAGCCATCCTCTACTGCTTTCCCATATGCACTAGCAGGAAGCTGGATTAGAAGTGGAGGCAGGACTCTATCCTGGACACTCTGATATAGGATGCCAGTGTCCCAAGGAAGCAGGTTAACCCTCTGTGCGCAACACCCACCCCAGGATGCTATCTCTTAATGGCAGAATATTAACATTTTCTCTGTGTTGTTTTTTTGTTTTGTTTTAGTTTAATAAGCAGTCTTTGGTCCAAACACCAGGGCGAGAACCTTCTAGTTCTCGAGTACAGAAGAGGGCTCGTTCGCGCTCCTTCAGCGGGCTCATTAAGGTGGGTGTGCTGTGCTGTCCTTTGAGCATGGATTGTGAAGAAATGTAATAGTCTGACTTTTCTTATGCAGAACATTTCTGTTTTTTGGGGTCCTATACAGAGTTAATTTGTGAAGGAATAAAGATAGAATTTGTACAAGCTTTATTTTTCCAAGGATTTCCTGCATTTCAAATCAGACAAGAGGAATTATGGAGTAAAAGAAATAAAGGTTTTTCTGTCTCTTCCAGGGATGAGGATAGAGTCCTCAGTCCTGAGCAGCGTGAGGAGGCTGTTTGCTTCCTGACCTGCTTTGTGCTGCATACTTCTTTTATTCACTTCATTTGTTTTTTTAAAAAGAGGTATTTATTTATGTGAAAGGCAATTATAGAGAGAAAGGAGAGAGAAAGAAAAAGATGTCTTCATCAGCCGTTTCACTCCCCAAATGGTTGCAATATTGGGGCTGGGCCAAGCACAAGCCAGGAGCCAGGAGCTCCATCAGATGTCCGATGTGGAGGGAGGGACCCAAACACTTTGGCCATTTTCTCTTGCTTTCCCAGGCACATTAATCAGGATCTGGCTCAGAAGTGGAGCAGCTGGGTCTTGAACCAGCATTCATATGGATGGCAGCATCGTAGGTGGTGGCTTTACCTGCCATGCCACCATGCCAGCCCCTAAAAAATCTTGTTTTTAAAACAAATGCAAAATAGACTTCTGTGCTGTTGCTGCCATCACTGTGTACAGATTGAATGTACCAGTTTTCAGATGATCTGAAATTGTACTGAAAGAATATGGCCATCAGATGGCAGTAGACAACTTGGTTTTGGGGTTCAAATTTCCATGCATAAACTAAGGCAAGGTTCTGGTTACCTTGGAGAGAAATTAGCATTATTCTGTGTTCTATTGTTTTTAAACTTGTTTTAACATTGCTATTATATATAAATCCAGCAACATTAAGGAGCCCTTTGATTTAAATTTAAACCTTTGGCCTAAAAGATAAATACTTTGTATTTTTTTTTCCTTTAAGGTACAGCTGTTAGTAGTTGCAAATTCATCTAATGTTGGTCTTAGGTATAATGTATAGCAATAGAGAATTCACTTCTCTTTCCTGATCCACTGTGTCAGTGGCTTCTGGGACAGGAGGCTTGTTTGACATAAAAATTTCCTTTCTGTCAACAGAGTGGAAAGATAATTCATGGAATGGGAGAAAATATTTGCAAATTGTATATCTGGTTAGTAGTTAATGTACAGAATATATAAATAATTCCTGTAACTCAGCAACAGCAGAAACAACCTCATTAAAAAATGGGCAAAGGACTCCAGTAGGTATTTTTCCAAAGAAATATGTAGTGGCCAAGAAACACATGAAAAGATGTTCAACATTGCAAATTATTAGGGAAATACAAATCAAAACCATAACGAGATACCACTTCCTGCCCACTGGGATTGCTAATATGAAAAAAAAAAAAAAAACACAGAAAAAAGCAAGTGTTGACAAGGCTGTGGAGAAACTGGAACCCTTGTGCACCACTGACGGGAATGTACAATGGTACCTCTGGAAACCAGTAGGAGAGTTTCTCAAAGGGTTAAACCCAGCAATGCCACTCTGTGTATCTACTCTGAAGAATTTAAAGGAGAGTACCGAGGAGCTGCCAAAACATGAAGCAGCCCAGTTGTCTGTTCTGTTGACAGAGGAATGTAATGAAGTGTGATATATAGACAGGGGAATATTGTTCATCCACAAAAAGGAAAGAAATTCTGAGTTATGCTATAGCATAGGACAGCCCAAAGATGTTATATTATGTGAACCAGCCAGGCACAGAAAGACAAATACTGTATGAATCTGTGTATGTGTGCTACCTAGAATAGCCCACTTCACAGAGGCAGAAAGTAGACTGGTGGTTGTCAGAGGCTGAGGATTGGGGCCTGGGGGTGATTACCATTTAGTAGATAAGGAGTCTGTTTGGGAGGAGTTGGATGGCTCTGGAGGTGGCTGGTGGTGATGCGCGCACAACGCTGCAGATGCACTTAATGCCGGCCACTCAGTTAGAAAAGTTCATTCCTCTGACTGCCCCGTCATAGAGATGATCGAAGGAAGTTTTACAGTAAAGAATCTTTCCTTAACCCAAGTTAGGTGGCTGTAGGTTTCTCAGTGAGCTTCTGCAGTTGGCTCTAGGTAAGTTGTGTTGCTAATTGTTAGCTTAAGCAGTTGGAATCTGTCCACTTCTTTACTAAGAGGGAACTTATAACTTTAGAATTTATAAAAGAACTTACAATTCTTTGGGATAACACTATTTATTTTTAAAGCTTTATTTATTTATTTGAAAGACAGAGTTACAGAGAGATTGATTTATCGATCGATCCATCTTCCCCAAACAGCTACAACAGTTGGGGCTGGGCCAGGCTGAAAGCTGGAGTCTGGAAGTCCATCCAGGGCTCCCAAGAGGGTGGCAGAGAACCAAGCACTTGGATAGAAGTGGAGCAGCCAGGACTTAAGCTGGCACTCCTGTGGGATGCTGTTGTTGTAAGCAGCAGCCTAACCCACTGTGCCATGATGCTGGCCCCCTGTTTTGATCCTTTTTAGTTAGACTTTTTTTTCTTCTAAATCTTTTCTCAGGTAAATAATTTATTGTATCAGAGTATTCTGAATACTGCTACTGATATGTATAACATTGAGTTTATTGTTCTAGTTTTGACTTCTTTTTGGGATTAAAATTTATTCTCTAAGGGAGAAAAAGGGAAGATTTCTCCAAAGATGGTAGAGTTGTCACTGACAGCTTTCACAGTAAGTTACATCCATCTTCTAAGCTGCGCCAAGATTAAAAGGCTTTTAGTCTTGCTCTGAATGTCAGTGTAGTCATGTGACCCCCTTTAGAAGGCCTGTACCCCCCTTGTGGCTCTATTAGGAACTCAGAGAATTTGTTCAAATGTTTCATTCCTGTGTGAGGAATGACAGGGAAGCAGAGTCAGGGAGCAGATCCAGCCCAACTGTCTCATTGTGGAGAATGGAGGGAGATTCTTTGAACAGCTGCTGCAGGCAGCACACCCGTGGGTAAGAGGAACATTGGTACTTACCTGGTGTCTCTTTCATGGCCTCACAGCCACACTGGAATTGGCCTATTTAAGTTTGTTTAAATCAACTATCAGCTTGCTTCTAACATTGCAGTCCTTTTTTTTTTTTTTTTAAAGATTTATTTTATTTTCTTGAAAGTCAGAATTACACAGAGAGGGAGAGACAGAGAGAGAGAGAGAGAGAGAGAGAGATCTTCCATCTGCTGGTTCACGCCCTAGATGGCTGCAATGGCCGGGACTGGATCAGGCTGAAGTCAGGAGCTAGAAGCCTGGTCTCCCACATGGGTGCAGGGGCCCAAGGACTTGAGCCATCTTCCGCCATTGCAGTCCCTTTAAGTGTGGAGGAAAAGTGATCACTTACAGAAGAACAACTTTTTTGGGTAACATGCTTTGTCTTGTATAAGATGGCAGAACTGATCATATTATGGAGTTTTTTAAACCCAAGGAAATTATAATTTTGAAGGTCAGTGTAGCTATAATATATATACAGTAGATGTTTGTAACTTAAATATTTTCTGTTCTTAAATCAGCGGAAGGTCCTTGGAAATCAGACGATGTCGGAAAAGAAAGACAAGTATCCTACTCCAGAGTCTGTGGCCATGAATGAGTTGAAGAGAGCCAGCAGAGAAAATATGAACTCAGTAAGATACTGTTCTTTGGACTTTGTGTGTGTGTGTACACTTGTAAAAGGCAGGCATCGACATACTATCATTTGTTTACTGTGTCTCTTGGCCATTCAGCAATGCCTTCTTCTCAGTCCTTTCATTTATGCTCTCTCTCTCTTTTTTTAAGATTTATTTATTTATTTGAAAGTCAACAGTACAGGGAGAGACAGAGAGGAGAGAGATCTTCATTTGCTGGTTCACTCCCTAAATGGCCACAACAGCTGGAGCTGGGCCAGTCTGAAGCCAGGAGCCAGAGTCTCCCACGTGGGTACAGGGGCCCAAGACTTGGGCTGTCCTCTGCTGCTTTCCCAGGAGCATTAGTAGAGAGCTGGATCGGAAGTGGAGCAGCCAGGACTCGAACTGGCACCCATATGGGACGCCAGCTGTGCAGACATTGGCAACCTGCTGTGCCACAGTGCTGGCCCCGAGTGGTTGATTCTTACTGGGAGACTCCACAGGACAAGTAAGAGTTGAGCCAGACCTCCCTGGCCCCACGTTACCTGTGGGATGGTCCTGCAAATATCACAGTCCTGGCTACTTACTAAGCCAACACTCAATGTAAAATTGATGAGCTATAAATGCATCAGTCCTGGTAACCTCTTCACATGAAAATGGAGCAAGTAAAGAATCCCTTTGTTAGGAAAGTCTGTAGGAATGACTCGAGAACATTTAAACACTGCAAAATTTTCTCCTTACAGTTGTTTTCTGGCTCTCCAGCTGTCACGGTGACACCAACAAGACTGAAATGGTCTGAGGGGAAGAAAGAGGGGAAGAAAGGTACTAGTGGTACTTACTCTCTGTTCTCACTGATGTTGCTCCTTCTGCTTCTGGTGTTTTGAATTCCTAGAAGTGATGTAGGAATTGCGTCCTTGTGTCCCGACGGTTATTCTACTCAGTGCTGCCCCAGCTGCGGAGGGGTGGAGTGTGAGCAGACCCACACTGTGCTCCTGAATTTTTTTTAAAGATTTGTTGATTTATTTGAAAGGCGGGGTCACAGAGAGAGGGGTAAAGACAGAGATCGATAGATCTGGTTTAGTTCCCAAATGGCCGCAATGGCCAGGGCTGGGCTAGACCAGAGCCAGGAGCCAGGAGCTTCTTCTGGGTCTGGTGGCTTTACGCACTGTACCACAATGCTGGCCCAGCTCCTGAATTCTTAGATAGTGCATAGTATAAGATGCCTTTTTAGAATCAATTGATGAATGAATGAATTTCTGAGGCAGTGGCAGGGCACCCCTTTCCACTGGCTCACTACAACTTCCTGCAGTGACAGCTCTCCCACGTAGCTGGCAGACACCCGGTTACCTGAACCTTCACTGATGCCTCCCAGGGTCTGTATTAGCAGGAAGCTGGCGTCGAGAGCTGACGCCTAGCATCAAACCGAGGTACTGTCATGTGGGCCGTGGGTGTCTTAATCAGCACCCTACCTGCCAGGCCAGACTTCTGCCCCTAACCTATCCTAAGAACATGCGGTAAGGTGGTTGAGAACAAGCGTCAACCAGCCTGTGGCACTGAGTGCAGCCGGGCTGAGACTGTGCTCCTGGCGTAGTTACGTGTGGGTTAGCCGTAGTCAGTGGCACTTTCCCCCGTGCTGAAGGCCTGGGAATCCTGTCACACAGCTTGCTTTTGAGGCTGTCACTGGCCTCAGAACTCGTCCACAGGAGCTTGGTGAAAGCTGACGCTGCCGACTGGCCCGGGCTTCTCTGATAAAAGCCTGCTGTGGCTGAGGTGGCTCAGTGGGCAGACCAGGAGATCGCGTGAGCCCTGAGTTACCGTTCCTCTGGCCAGAGAAGCCACTCATCCTCCTGAACTCAGCTTTCTTCCTCTGAAATGAGGATAACACAGGTTGAAAATCCTTAGTCTAGAAGTCCAAAATCTGAAACTTTTTGAGCACTGACATGATGCTCAAAAGTTTAGAATTTTGGAGCATTTCAAATTTGTGGATTAGGGATGCTCAGCTGGTAGAGTCTATGCAGATATCCTAAAATCTACAGCACTGCAAATGGAAACACTGCTGCTTCTAAGCATTTTGGAAAAGAAATACTCAGCCTGTTACATGTATTTCACAGATTTATTATGAGGCTTAACTGAAATAATATTTTGGAAGCACACTGTAATTGCTAAAGCATTAACAATTTGTAATAGTTGCTAAGAAAACCAGACAAGACATGGTCTTGTCCAACACTCATGTGGCAGTTGAATTGAGCTCTGATTTGACATGCCTATTTCACCACTGGGACGTGAGCATAATGACTGAGATGTCAGCCGTACGTAGAAGGAATAAATGCTCAATTTGGATCAATCTTTATTTTCTTCTAGAATATTACATTTCACTATAGTCTTCTTACTTAGCCTTGAATGAATTATCTGAATTCTTTTTTTCCTCCTTACTTCTGAGTTCTAGGCTGGGTGTCTGAACATAATTTTTTGTGTTATTTGTGTCTAAATAATTCCATCTATATGTCTGTGAGTCAAGACCAAGCATAAGTTATTTTTTTGAAGAATATTTTGTGTCAATATGTCTTTTGTTGCTTTTATTTTTAAGATAATTAGTAAATAACAAGTTTCTTTATATTGGCAATGTTACTTTGTAAAGATATAAATGAATTAAAAAATAATCCAGTGTATTATTTCACTAAGTTCTTTTTTTTTTTTAGAAGATTTATTTATTTTATTTGAAAGAGTAACACACACAGAGAGTGAAGAGAGGTCTTCCATCTGATGGTTCACTCCCCAAATGGCCGCAACGGCCAGAGCTGCGCGGATCTGAAGCCAGGAGTCTCTTCCGGGTCTCCCACGTGGGTGCAGGGGCCAAAGGACTTGGGCCATCCTCCACTGCTCTCCCAGGCCACAGCAGAGAGCCGGACAGGAAGTGGAGCAGCTGGGTCCCGAACCAGCGCCCACATGGGATGCCAGCGCCTCAGGCCATGGCGTCAACCCACTGCGCCCCTATTTCACTAAGTTCTAAGGCAGGGATCCTTGGACTGTTATCTGTGGACTTCCAAAGAAGTCTTTAATAAAGTTCCTGGTATTGCTGATGCAATTTTTATATAGATACATATGTGCATTTTTCTGAGGGAGTTTTATTAAATTCTCAAGAATATTAGTGGTTCAGAGCAGTAGAGGGCCACAGATAATGAATGACATTCAGTGGTGTTTTTACTGTATTCTCTCTCCGTGGTCACTTCCTCTATCCTTGGTGTTGTGATGCTATACTATTCTTGTTTCCTCCTCCTTTTTTTGTTATTGATTTTCATTTTTTAAATTTTAATAAGGGTGCTGATGCTGTGGCTCAGCGGGTTAATGCCCTGGCCCGAAGCGCCAGCATCCCATATGGGCACCGGTTCGAGACCCAGCTGCTCCACTTCCGATCCAACTCTCTGCTATAGCCTGGGAAAGCAGTAGAAGATGGCCCAAGACCTTGGGCCCCTGCACCTGTGTGGGAGACCTGGAAGAAACTCTTGGCTCCTGGCTTCGCATCGGCGCAGCTCTGGCTATTGCTGCCAATTAGGGATTGAACCAGCGGATGAAAGACACCTCTCTCTCTCTCTCTCTCTCTCTCTCTCCCCGCCTTTCCTCTCTCTGTGTAACTATGACTTTCAAATAAATATATATTTTAAAAACTTTTAATAAAAAAGATTTATCTATATATTTGAAAGGCAAAGAGATAGAGAAGGATGGAGTAGTAGAGCGAGAGAAAGAGGTATCTTTTACCTACCAATTTACTCCTCAAATGACAACAGCCAGGACTAGGCTAAGCCAAAGCCAGGAGCCCAGATCTCCATCCTGATCTCATGTGGGTGGCAGGAACCCAAGCACTTAGGGCATCATCCACTGCCTTCCCAGGAGCCTTAGTAGGAGGCTGGATTGGAAGTGGAGCAGCGGGATTCTAGCTGGCACTTTGATATGGGATGCAGTTGTCGCAAGCTTCACCTGCTGGGCCACAGTGCCTGCCCCTCCTCCTCCTTTAGTTCTTTTCCTTATCTGCAGTGGCTGACCCTTGTCTGCCTATCTACTTCTTTGTGTTTTTGTTTTCCCCAATGTTCTATCATAAGCTCTTTGCTCGTTCTTTCCTCCCTTAGCAGCTGGGTTGGCTTCCACAGCTCAGATCTGCTCTCTGTGATGACTACTTGCAGACCACAGCTCCAGTGTGAACTCACTTCTAGTCTCCAAGTCCATCCATCCAGGAACCTGCCTTGTAGTTCTTTTACACAACAATGAATACAACCTTAAATTGTTTCATTACTCATGTTTATAAAAGTAATAAATACTCTTTGGAAGGCCGGCGCCGCGGCTCAACAGGCTAATCCTCCGCCTAGCGGCGCCGGCACACCGGGTTCTACAAGGCAGAACTACAAGGCAGGTTCCTTCTTCCAGGCCAGCTCTCTGCTGTGACCAGGGAGTGCAGTGGAGGATGGCCCAAGTGCTTGGGCCCTGCATCCCATGGGAGACCAGGGGAAGCACCTGGCTCCTGCCATTGGATCAGCGCGGTGCACCGGCCGCGGCGGCCACTGGAGGGTGAACCAACGGCAAAGGAAGACCTTTCTCTCTCTCTCTCTCTCTCACTGTCCACTCTGCCTGTCGGAAAAAAAAAATATTCTTTGGAGAAGAAAATGCAGTTTTATTATCATCATCAGTAGCATAATCCAATAAGGTTTGTTTAGCACAGGGTCTCTCAAGCATGACATGAATGGTATTTTGGGCCAAATAATTCTCTGTTGTGGGAGCTGCCCTGTGCCTTGTATGGTGGTTGGCAGCATCTCTGCCTTCTACCTAGCACATGCTGGTAGTGCCGGTCCCCTAGCTGTGACAGCCAAAAACGCATCCAGACATGTCTGCTGCGGGGGAGGAGACAAAATCACCCCAAAATCACAACTGATGCAGCACATATGCAGCACTTTCTTATTAGTGGGGCGTTATTTTCAAAAATTAAACTTTTAAAATTAATTTAGTTTTTATTTATTTATTTATTTATTTTTAAAGATGTATTTATTTATTTGAAAGAGAGTTACAGAGAGGCAGAGGCAGAGAGAGAGAGAAAGAGGTCGTCCATCTGCTGGGCCATTCCCCAGATGGCTGAAATGGCCAGAGCTGGGCTGATCCAGAGCCAAGAGCTTCTTCCAGGGCTCCCACGTGGGTGCAGGGGCCCAAGGACTTGGGCCATCTTCTACGGCTTTCCCAGGCCACAGCAGAGAGCTGGATCAGAAGAACAGCCTGGACTAGAACCGGCGCCCATATGGGATGCCGGCACTGCAGGAGGTGGCCTCACTTGCTATGCCACAGTGCTGGCCTCACTTTTTTTTTTTTTTTTTTTTTTTAATTTATTTTAAAAGAGTTACAGAGAGAGAAGGAGGGAGATCTTTCATCTGCTGGTTTACTTCTAGATGGCTGCAATGGCTTAGGCTGGGGCAGGCTGAAGCCAGGAGCCAGGAGCTTCTCCCAGGTCTCATGTGGGTGGCAGGGGCCTAAATTCTTGGGCTATCTTTCGCTGCTTTCCCAGGCCATAAGTAAGGATCTAGATTGGAAGTAGAGCAGCTGGAACTTGAACCGCTGCCCTTGTGGGATGCCAACATTCCAGGTGGTGGTTTTACTGGCTACACCAGGATGCTGGTCCCTTTAGTAGTTAGAATTTCAGCCATTCTTTTTTTTTTTTTAAGATTTTATTTGTTTACTTGAAAGTCAGAGTTACAGAGAGGCAGAGGCAGAAAGAGATCTTCTATCTGCTGGTTCACTCCCCAGATGGCTGCAATGGCCGGAGCTGCACTGAACTGAAGCCAGGAGCCAGGAGCTTCCTCCAGGTCTCCCACGTAGGTGCAGAGGCCCAAGGACTTGGGCCATCTTCTGCTGCTTTTCCAGGCCATAGCAGAGGGCTGGATTGGAAGTGGAGAAGCTGGGACTCAAACCAGCGCCCATCTGGGATGCCGGCACTGCAGGTGGTGGCTTTACCTGCTACACCACAGCGTCAGCCCCTAGCCGTTCTTTAAAGCCCGGCCTAAACCCCACCTCCTTTGAAACCTTCTCTGACTAACCCTGCGACATATAATTACTACGTATAATAGCTACTCTTATTGATTCTAGTAAAATGTAGTCATTGAATATGATTCATTTGTTTTACATGTATTGTTTTACCTTGGGCTGATTTCTCTCCTGGAAGACGGGTGAGACTTGAGAAGATATTTGTGGCCTCTGGTCCCCTGTTCTCCTCTCAGTGCTGACAGTCCCTTGCCTCCAGTAGACATTTACTGAACATTTACTCATGAGAGCCTAGTGGTGGTAAGGGCACGGCTCTGCGTTCAGTGAGGCTCCGTCCAGTTCCCAGTTTTCTGCTAATAGCTACTTATCCTAGGGCAGGTTAACTTACAAAGGCTGCAGCTTCTTTGTCCTAAGGTGGCAGGAGTGTTACCTCTGGCACAGGACGTTGTGAGGAGAAATGAGATAATGTGTATAAAGAATTACAGCAGCCCTTGGCACAAAATATGCCCTCAGGTGGTAGCTGTTATTGCCATTACAATGGTTCAATGAAGCAAGATTAGATCAAGCAAACTTGGTAATGTTTACTTGGTAGAGTTATAAGTTCTCAAACTCTTGAACCTTCAGTTTGGGAAAAATATTAAGAGTAGGTTCTGGCCAGCGCCGCGGCTCACTAGGCTAATCCTCCGCCTTGCGGCGCCAGCATACCGGGTTCTAGTCCCGGTCGGGGCGCCGGATTCTGTCCCGGTTGCCCCTCTTCCAGGCCAGCTCTCTGCTGTGGCCCGGGAGTGCAGTGGAGGATGGCCCAAGCACTTGGGCCCTGCACCCCATGGGAGACCAGGAGAAGTACCTGGCTCCTGCCTTCGGATCAGCGCAGTGCGCCAGCCGCAGCGCTCTGGCCGTGGCAGCCACTGGAGGGTGAACCAACGGCAAAAGGAAGACCTTTCTCTGTCTCTCTCTCTCTCTCACTGTCCACTCTGCCTGTCAAAAAATAAAATAAAAAATGAAAAGAAAATGAGTAGGTTCTGTAGTGTTTGGGTGGGATTTTTTCAGAGAACATTTATAAAGGGGCCTACATTGTGGCACTGTGGGTTAAGCTGCTGCTTGTGATGCCGACATCCTTTATCAGAGTGCCAGTTCAGTCCCAGCTACTCAGCTGCTGCTCCGGCTCCTTGCTAATGTATCTTGGAAGGCAGAGGAAGATGGCCCAGATACTTGTGTCCCTGCTACCCACGTGGGAGACCAGGATGGAACCCCTGGCTCCTGGCTCTGGCCTGGCTCCAGCCCTGGCTGTGTTGGGCATTTGGGGAATGAACCAATGGATGGGAGATCCCTTTCTGTGTTTTTTCTTCTCTGTGGGTCAGTTTGCTTTTCAAATAAATCTTTTAAAGGTTTATTTATTTATGTATTTATTTTATTTTATTTGAAAGACAGAGTGACAAGGATAGGAAGAGAGGGAGAGAGAAAGCGAGAGATCTTCCATTTGCTGATTCACTCCACAAATGACTGCAATGGTCAGGGCAGGGCCAGGCCAAAGCTAGGATCCTGGTACTCCATCAGGGTCTCCCACATGGGTGCAGGTGCATTAGCATGGAATTAGATTGGAAGCAGAGCACCCAGGACTGGAATAGGCACCCATATGGGATGCTCGTGTCACAGGCAGTGTCTTAACCTCCTGTACCACATTGATAGCCCCCAAATAAATCAATCTTTTTAAAAATATTTATAACCGTGTCTAATACTTTGTTTCTTCTTCAACCTAGGATTCCTCTGAAGGATCCGGAGTTCTGTCGGCCATGCAGATTTTTTTCCAGGGGGCCATGTGTTACTACCACTCATAGTGAAGCTTGGACTTGCAGCTTACTTGCTGCATTTTGACTTGTAAAAGTCAACTAATACCGTGACTGATGCCTCTAACCCCACTCACTGGCTGATGTGTGCAGGCTGTGCCTCGGAGAGAGTGGTAGGCTCATGCGCTCTCTCTCAGTGTCACGGAGAAGCCTCTGATCTCCAGCCTGTCCAGTGCAGCAGACGAGCAGTCCTGGGTGGGCTCCAGTGCTTGCTCCGTGTGTAGGCAGATTCTAATTTTTGAAAACATGAAATCTGTGCTCAACTGCCAGCAATTTTTAAAAAGTAATGTCAATTGTAGTGAACTGATGTTATTTTTAACTGGTATTTTGGCTTTTTCTCTGTTTTGATAGTGTTGGGGGTTATGTTTTTCGTTTGTTTGTTTAAAAGCCATGTTGTTGCTAATCTGAGTAGACTCTCAGCTAGAGGCCTTTCAGCTTTTCTCACTTTGAGCTGGGGAAAGCGCTTTCTTCCCTGACACTGTATTCCTTCAGACCTTATTTATGTCCAAAGAACTTAGAGCGTTCTTGGAAATGTATTCTTTCCTGGGTCTGGTATTGCAGTGTATTTGACCCATGGTATTGAAAAAGGAGAATTCAGAACAGTACAATATTGACAAATTTCAGTTACGAAGCTGTCTTCCCTGCCCGCCTCCCCACCTCTCCTTTCCTGAGTGATGCAGACGTCACTGTGTGGTTGATGAGCCACCACTCGCTTTCCTCTCACAGCAACATCTCTGGTGCCAGTGGGGGGCTTCTGTGCCCCATCACTGGGACCCAGAGCCTAACGGAGGTCTGCTGAAACACTGGCATGTGGGGGGGGCTCTGGAGTGTCCCGGGCTGACCTGGTGGGTGGGCTTTGTTGCACCTTTCCAAGCATCCCGCATGCCGGCTGGACACTCTCCTGAGAGCGGGGCGGGGGAGGGGTGGGGGCAAGAGGGAAGGAAGTGAACAGCGGTGTCTGCTGGGCTGATGGCCTCTAAAGGAGAGGCGTTCTAGTGCTGAGGGCGTCTGAGCCTCTCCTCTCCTCGTCACCATGTCCAGCTGGTAATTGGAGATGGGACCAGAGCTTTTGGGCTTTTGGCTTGGGTATGTTCAGGTATGTTTGAGGTGAGCAGTGGCTTTGATCTACTTTGAAATACCCCTGCCCAGAGAGCAGCGCATGGCAGGTGAGAATGTTCGGGTTAATGTTGGGCTCTGTTAGGCTATGGAAGCGCTGTCACCCTGAGTCAAGCTGTTATGGGGAAGCAGTTGCCCAGTAAATATGGCTTGCTGACCTAGTTTTAAACAGTTGAAATTGCTGCATTGTTGCAAACGACAGATGCCTCTGGGGGAGCAGAGCTGGGCTTTGTGTCTGCTGTCTGCCCCTTCTCCTGTATTCTAGTTCTGCTGCTGGGACAGCACTAGTCAAGAACAGTGTAGAATTTGGCCTCCAGCTTGACAGACTGGGGGAGTAGATGGTTAGGAACAGAGTTGCTTGAAAATTCTTCTCTAGGGCAGTTTCAGATCATTCTTGAAAATGTTCACTCACAGATTCATTTGTGTAGGTCTCTATCTGACTTTTCTCCTTAATAAGAAAAAAAATCCTTGCACCAGAAACCAGTGACTTCAGACAGAACCCAGGCAGTGTTCTCCCTTCCGTGGTACGTCCTCCGTTCCACGAGTGCAGCTGGAGGTGTGTCCTGGCTGACGGGGACGGAGCAGAGCAGTGAGAGGTGCCTCCTGTTCCCCGCTTGGTCTTGCGGGCTGCCTGCGGGAGGAGGCTGGGGTTTAGGAGACGCTTCCTGGGGGTGGAATGGGTCCTGGGGGCAGTGTGCTGGGCGCAGCTGGCAGGAGAGCTGTTCGCTACCTACACATGCTTTTAGATAGCTGGGCCTGTTGGGCAGTTTATGTATGTGCTTGGATTTGTGTTTTGTTTATTTATTGAATATGCTTTTCCTTGCTTTAAGGGTATTATAGGTCATTTTTCCTATAAAAACTGTGATCCATTTGGAATTCAAATTTCAGGCGTAAACAGCATAACTTTCTACCTTTTAATATGTAACTGGTCTAATCCTGTGGAATCTTTGGGAAAATCCAAACAAATACCCTTTATTGTTGCCGCAGAAGATTGCTATCTCCCTTCTGATGGGCAGGTATTATTTTTGAGCCAGTATTTAACTAATTTTTTAAATCTAAAGATATTTTTTAAACCTGTTTTGTTTATTTTTCATGTTGGAACAATCTCTTTGGAAATGCCTCTTCCTGTTGCTTTTAAAATGTTGTTTTCTGGGATCATTTTGATGAGTTCTGATGTAGTGTCAGAGGGGCATAAGTATAGAACACAGGCCCGTGGTTGTCTTTGGAATCCACCCTACAGTGACAGAAGGCTCGGGAGATACTGCACCTCAGTGACATAGGAGGGGTAGGTGATGAGTCGTAGCTGAAGCCACATGAGCCTGAGTGTCCAGGGTGGGTCAGGAGTGACGGGGACATGGAGTGACACAGGGCTGTAGACCATGGTGGTTGCTGGCTGCTTCGGAGTGGCCGTTTGTTGGCCTGCAGGGAGGCTGTCCATCCAGGGGTGTCAGAGCAGGGCCATTCTCTCCTCCAGAGTGGGAATGAGTGAGCCTCCTCCCAGGAGCCTGCGGCAGTACACGGTTTAAGGTATGCCTTCCTGCAGAGCCTGTGGCCGTCAGGACCACGCCTGCACTGAGTGGCCGTGTGACCACGCGTAACCGGGAAGCCATCTTTGGACACGGACATCTTTGGACTGTGCCCCTTACTCGGTGCAGGGCCTCACACAGATGCCGGGAGCTGGTGGCTCCCCTTCCTCCGGGAGAGCGCCTCGTTTTCAGTCTGCTCTACCCTGACGCCTTCCTACTGAAGACGGGACTCAGATCTATGCCTGGATAAACCTGGCTGGGTTGCCCTAGAATCTGGGGAGGATTGGGGTTCCTGAGATCTGCACGCTGTTTAAACTGCTGGTGAATAGCATAACCAGAACTCCCCGTGGATGGCCGCCTTGCTGAGATCTTTCCACCAGGGTAGTTGGTGGAACCAGGCTGGGGGAGGCGGAGTACACGGCAGCCGTGGGTTACCATGGAAACCGGAGTGTGTGTGGCCACAGCCCGAACTAAAGAGCCATGGAGCACTCCCCAGCCATGTTGGGGACAAGCTGTTCCCTCTCCCCGGGTCCGGCCTTCGTAGCACAGGTGCCTTTGCCCTGTCCCTGACTTCACTCGAGATAAACGAGGCTTCTTCAGAGAGAAAGGTTTTACCGTTTTTTGTGTTTCATTTTTACTTGACTATATATATATATATGTAACTGTAAAGAAACAATCATATTATGTTGTCTTTCTTTTATATTCTTGGAATATTCTGAAATTAAATGTCCTTGTTTGATACCCATAGGTGCTGGTCTCTTAGTTCACATTTGGAAGAGGGGGTGGCCCAGGAGATGCTCCTCTTGGGCTTGCTGCCCCGCTGGGTGGGGGGCTCAGGACACGGGGGCTTTTGGCCGGGAGAAGTACAGGTGGAGCAGCCGGGATTCTGAGCTTCCGGAGTGCCTGCAGCCCGGCCCGAGTGCCTTGCCGCCTCCAGGTTCTCACGTCCTCTGCCTCTCGCTTACGGTTACACAGCAGTGGAAATGGGGTGGTGGTTTCGTCTGGGCTGGAGGGTCGAGGGTTTAGACCAGTCTGGTTCCATGTTATTTCTGCCACTGCCTCAGTCTTTCCGACTGCTCTAACAAAGTACCAGAGACTGGGGGCTTACACACACTGCAGTGTGTTCCTCACAGTTCCGGAAGCTCCCAAAATCAGGGTGCTGGCAGAACTGGTATCTCGAGAGCCCACTCCTTGGTTCATAGACTACTGTCTTCTCCCTGTCACCTTACATGGCAGAAGGGACAGGGGATCTCCTGGGTCCTCTTTTATAAACTTTAATCCTATTCCTGAGGGCTCTGCCTCATGACCTAATCACCCCCAGAGCCCCTCCTGACACCCTCACTGGGGGTTATGGTTCAGCATGAATTTGGGTGAACACAGTTCAGTCGACAGCAGATACTTATTACATATGTGACTGTGGGACATCCCTGGATCTCTGCTCCTTCATTTATCAGGGATAATGGTATCTGTCTCAGCCTTGCCATGTTCTCAGTGGTTAACAGATGGAAGGGCCTACACAGAGGGTTTTTAAAGAATGTTAGAGAAGGACACAACACACACGTACACACACACTTACGCACAGAGCCTCCATCTGCTGGTTCATTCCCCAGATGGCTGCAATAGCCAGGGCTGGGCCAGGCTGAAGCCAGGAGCTGGGAGCTCCACGCTGTGTGGAGCAGGAGCTCAGGCACTTGAATCATCATCTGCTGCCTCCCAGGTGCATTAGCGGGAAGCTGGATCAGGAGCAGAGCAGCCAGGACTTGGACTGGCAGATGGATGCTGGCGTCACAGGCAGTAGTTTAACTTGCTGCACCAGTCCTTAATGTTGATTTTTAAATTTTCAGCTACTTGAGAGGCAGGGCAACAGAGGCAGAGAGATCTTCCATCTGCTGGTTCACTCCCCAAATACCCACAAGAGTCGGGGCTGGGTCAGCTGAAGCCAAGAACCCAGAACTCCATCTGGGTCCCCCGTGTGGGTGGCAGGATCCAAGGGGTTGAGCTGTCTCCCAGGCGCAGTTGGATCAGAAGTAGAGTACCCAGGATTGGGACCAGGCACTCCGATTTGGGATGCAGGTGTGCCGCAAGGAGTGGGCTTACCCACAACTCTCGTCCCTTAGAACAGTCTTTCCCCTGTAATTCTGTGTAAAACGTGTGCATTTCATTTTCTAGGAGGATTTCATAGCTTGCACAAGAGTCTCAGTGGAGTCCTTGACCACTGGAATACTGAGACCCGCTAGCCTTGCACAGGGCTGGCAGATGGCAAGTATTCATTAAATGGTAATTCCCTCTCTCTGCCAAGGACAAATTTTATAATCAGCAGGTTATTGATGCTGACACGGTTATTTTGGTAACAAAGGAGTTACTTCAGTCCTGAATAGAGTCAAAGCTCTGTAGTTGTCCCCCACATGCTGCTGTGGCTGTGCTGCTCCTTGGGTGCTGCTCAGACCTTCTGTCCCTTAGTCCCTCAGGACCAATTCATGTGATTTACTGTGAAGCCAGCAGCCAGGTCTGTTCCTGGAAAGTGAAGCGTGGAGAGACTCTTAAAGTTTATCCAAAGAAGAGAAAAAGGGTGGAAGGGCAGGAGAGGCTTTGGAAAGTAGGAGAGGGATCACAGGGGCTGGGTTAGCTCCATTACCTTTGCCCCCTGTGGTGGCCTGGCCCAAGTTTTGTCCCCGCCTACATTCCTGAATTACAGGGGTGCCGGGCCAGGGAAGAGGTTAGGGTGGGCTTGTACAGATCCTCAAGGCCCAGCCTCTCGGTCTCCCCATGAAAAACTAAAGAACAGCGATGGCTATGTCTCAGCTGAGTTGATCTTTCGTGTCTTACCCACCGATGGGCTCCAGGGCCCAGATGAGAGTCTCCTATCTTGGGGTCAGAAGCCAGGGGAACAGGAGGGGCTGCTGGGGCCCCTGCCAGCTTCCCCCTTAGTTCCAAAAGAGCAGTCGCTGTTTTGAGGGCCTGGGCAGTGAGTTGGAGCAGAGTGTGCAAAACTTGTGAGCCCCAGGGGCAAAGAAACCCAAAAGGGAGGCCTGTGGGCTGGAGGGAGCTGAGTTCCGACCCCCACACGTGTCGTGCACGGCCTCGTTCCTGTCCCAGCCTCGGGGGAGTGCCAGTTTCCACGGGGGCACAGCTGGCTTCTCATGACTCACGGCCACAGCAGCTGCAAATGTGAGGCGAGGCTGATTGCTGCATTTATCCTCACAGTTTTACCATCCACGTCCACCGGCAGCGGCTCAGTGGGCAAAACGATAGCCCTCGAGGGAAAATGATAGTGTTAGTGTTCTATTGAATTAGAAAGAATGAACCACAGAGTCAAACATTTTAAACTTGGGCATAAAAAGATAACTGACCCTCAAACAGGAAGTTGCAGAGTGAGAACCAAGAAAAGCAAGTGAGCCCATTGCAGGCCAGAGGAGCGCAGAAGCAGCTCCTCAGAGGGGGCGTCGGAGTTCATGCCTAGGAAGGTTCAGAAAGGCCCCGTGAGCAGATTGTGTTCGTGGGCCTGTTAGCCTGCTGCGAGGAAACACGGGGCTGGCTGTGTTTGACAACAGCTGCATAAGCAAGGTTCAACCTAGGAGCCAACAGCACTTTCACAAGGAGGTTTTGTTTGCCCTCAGCTCAAAAGCTAAGAATTCTTCCCCGCTCATTCTCTACACGGTCACATTTCTTGGCCTCTGATTAGAAGCCTCTAGAAATAAGAGGTGGTGGGCCCATGGTTTCACTTGAAGAGCTGAGGTAGTAGTTCAGTCCCGGAGGAGGCGTCTGGTGCAATGATTTGCTCACATCCCTTAGCACGGGGCCTGGGTTCAAGTCCCTGCTCTGCTTCTGATTCCAGCATTCCTGCTGATGGGCACCCTGGGAGGCAGCAGGTGATGGCTCAAGTACTTGGGTCCCTGCCACCCACATGGGAGACCTGGATGGAGCTCCTGGCTTCAGGCTTCAGCCTGGCCCAGCTCTGGTTCTTGTGGGCCTTTGTGGAGTGAACCAGTAGGAAGGAGATCCCTCTGCCTTCCAAATAAATAAATAATTAATTAAAATAATTCAGTCCTATACAACATTCCCAGTGATGGTGAAAATGGCTCTGACGGCTCGTGCCAGGAGAAGGAAACCATCCCAGCAACCAGAAGCTGGGGCTTGATTGCAGACTCAGTGATGTCATCAGCGTGCCTCTGGCTGGGCGAGAACCACGGCTTGTTGGGTCTCAGTGCACCTGTCTGCAAAGCACAGATAATGATGACGTCCCTACTTCTCCTTACTGTCATGGAGTCCAGACGAGTCAAGTGCTGAGAAGAGCTTCAGAAAAGTGTAAATGCCTGTGGAACATGTAGGGGGGCAGAAGCCCGAGAAATCTCAAAACCCAACATAAGGGGCTGGCGCAGAAGCTGTGGTGTAGTGGGTAAAGCCGCTGCCTGCAGTGCTGGCATCCCATATGGGCACCAGTTTGTGTCCTGGCTGCTCCTCTTCCGATCCAGCTCTCTGCTATGGTCTGGGTAAGCAGTGGAAGATGGCCTAAGTCCTTGGGCCCCTGCACCTGCGTGGGAGACCCGGAAGAAGCTCCTGGCTCCTGGCTTCAGATTGGTGCAGCTCCAGCTGTTGCAACCATCTGGAGAGTGAACCAGCAGATGGAAGACCTCTCTCTCTCTGCCTCTACCTTTCTATAACTCTTTCAAATAAATAAATCTTTTTTTAAAAAAAAAGAATATTCCAACATAACTTTTTACCTTGATTTAGTCTACTTTGTGTCCAGCCTGAATGAAAAGAAATGTGCAGTGTAAAATATGTAATGGGAAAAGTCTGAATTTATAGATTCTTAGGAAAGAGGGTATAGTTGAAATAATGTCAAAAACATTGAGTAGGAAACAGAAGGTGGCGTGCCCGTGTGACCAAAGTGTGGAAGGCCCACCAGTGCCAGGAGTGGGGATCGCCAGAGGCAGAGGTGAGGGAGTGTGGTAGGGCTTCGGCAGGCACGAGGGCTCCCCACAGTCGCACAGGGGCCCCCTGGCCAGACTCCTGGGGGGGGGAGTATAGGACCCTGACCGTGGAGTGTGGTTCTCGAACCTAGCATGCATTGGCATCACCTGCAGGACTGCTCAGACACAGCTGGGCCTGGGTCCAGGAGTTTCTGATTCAGTCGGTCCGAATCAGTTAGGGCTTGGCCAGACTGAAGCCAGGAGCCTGGAACTCCATTTGGGTCTCCCACATGGGTGGCACCCAAGCAACCTGAGCTGTCTGCTGCCTCTCAGGGCGCACATTGGCAGGAAGCTGGATAGGAAGTGGAGCCAGGACTCGAACCCAGGAACTCCATGGGATGCGAGTGTCCCAAGTGACTTCTTATCCCGTGTTGCAAATACCAGTCCCAGTTGATTCATATTACGGATGAGGGAACTAAGGCCCTGGGAAGTGAAGGAATGCACTTGTTACCCCACATGGGTGCAGGATGCGCTTGCTCAGCACTGGGGCTGACATCTAATTACATCTGCTCTCCCCACTCCCAATATGTATTAACATGTATTCAATATAAAGTCAGTATAAACCATTGTTAAGTAGCTGTTTTACATTTTGATTTTTTTCATACTAAGTCTTGAATCACATTTCCAGGGCTCAATAGCCATCCCGCAGCACCACTTCCAACCACACATGCCTGTGATCACCCTTTCCGCCACTAGATGGCGCAGGTGACCGTCCCTCCAGTGAGTGCCTCAGACGTTAGACTTCTCTTAAATCTCCCGTGATTTTTGTTTAAATTT